TTATCTAATTTTAACATATATTAATTGTGTCATGTGATAAACTTTCATTTATTTTATTGATGTCTATGAAATTTTATCTTCGTTGGTAAAAAAATTAACTATGCTAACTTTTTTATCCAAATAAATGCTTAATTAGATGCAAATAAATGCTGGATGTGTTAATTGATTGCAATAAAAAATAAGAGTTTGGATGATTTTTAATTATAGTTTAAGGGTTTTTTATGCCCTTTACCCTTATACTTTCAATTAATCTTTCACTTATTTTAAAAATAACTCTAACATTTGTGTTTTACTTATAAATAGTATTAACTATATCAATATCAGTTTAGGGTAATTATATTGAATTATTTTTTAAATATAGACCTTATGGAGTCATGATATCATATTGATTGATAGTATCATGATATCATATTGATTGATACTATCTTTTAAGATAAAAACCTTGAAATATTAATAATATTAGAAATGGAAATAAAATGTATAGTTTAAATAGAATATCCATACATAAAATGATTTTTTTTTCATGATAAGGAAATATTAAATTTAATTAATAAAATGTTTAAATTTTTAATATAAGAATGTTTGTATCATTTTAATTTAGATTGATTGACATTTCAACTAAACTTTGATTATATTAAATTTATGAATTTGAGTTTGAATTATTATTAAAGTCAAATCATTTTAAGTTTTGAGCTACTTTAAGTTAGATTAAGCTGAAAATACGATCAATTTATTATTGGATTCAGGTTAAAAGTAAACTATTTTTTATATGATATCTAATCCACTATAAGTGAAAATTAAAAACGCCACAACTGGGTCTTTTTACTTGCCACGTATCTTTATAGAAAAATTTTCTTTTTTGCCGTTAACGTCAACTTTACACTCACTATCGTTAATTCCCAAACTTTTGTTGTCTTTATCCACACATCTTTCATTCACGCTTCTCCCAAACTTTGAAGCTCTCTCTCAACCTTCCATTTCAAACCTTTTCTGTGTCACAATTCCTCAATTCTCTCTCTTAAGCTTTCATCGTCGACCTTTGTTCATTTCATTAATTTTGATATTCTTTGAAAGGTTTTTTTTTTTTTTTTTGCGTTTATTCCACACAAGTATTAATTTTTAGTTTTCCTTTCTAATAGGCTGAATGCACGTTTTATTAAACTATTTTTCATAATCCTACAATTGACATGTGAATGTTCCTCTAATAAATTGTGGGTTAGATGTTTGATTAATTGACCCAGAAACGATTCATAAACTTTTAGTTTCGTTTCTCTTCTTTTGGTCGAAAACTAATTTTGCTGGGAAGTAGTTTTTGGATTATTACTACAACCAGTTTAGTTGTTTTTTACTTGACTTAATGTAAATTTAGTTCCTATTTTTAAATTGGATTGGACCAGTTTAGTTCTAATGGCTACGACCCTAGGTTCTATAAACAAAACAAATGCACTCTACAAGCATTAGAGTGAAGGTTTTTCGTCGCCAAAGCCAATTATATCTAATATTGCTAATTATATCTTCTTTTTGTTGATTATTGATTGTTTCGTTGTACCTGCACTAACATCCATATGTTCATTTATATGGTGCATGTTAGCATTTCTTTCTATAAAGAAATGCAAACTATGTAGCTCTATAGCTTCAAGAATAAACCTCCTTATAGACTTTGCAATTTGTATCACCGTGTCATATAAAATATTGTATTCGTATCGTGTTTTACATGAAAATTATATATCATAATTCGTGTTGACACGAAAATATAAAATATAATATTTTGATTTTATTAAAACTATTTATGGTTTTTTTAAAATAAGCCTTGTTATCTCTATGTTCTTTATTCGTCTCATTTTTGTATAGTGTCATTATATTGTGTTTCAAATTGCCAAAGTCTACGTCCTTATGTCACGGACTTAAGGGAGAGTCTTGAATCTCACATCGAACATAATAGGAGGGTCACTGGAGTATAAAAGGGTTCACACCATCTCCGCCTTGTGAGGCGCCTTTTGTAGGATAAAACCGTGAGGTCAGGAGGGCCAGAGCGGACAATACCTCACAAGGGTGTGAACCGTGGCGGTCAGGCTGATTCGGGACGCCGAAAGGGTGAATGCCCGAGTCCCGGAGCTGCGTGGGTTCGGAGCTTAAGTCTCGACCCATGACAAGTGGTATCAGAGCCAGCCCTAAACCGTTCGATCCACGCCAAGCACCTCGAGGGAGGTAGGCAGGGTGGCCAGCCTCCGTGACGAGAGCGTCACGAGATTGGGTGCGGGAGAATGTCACGGACCTAAGGAGGAGTCCTGAATCCCACATCGAACATAATAGGAGGGTCACTGGGGTATAAAAGGGTTCACACCATCTCCGCCTTGTGAGGCACTTTTTGTAGGATAAAATCGTGAGGCCAGGGGGGCCAGAGCGGACAATACCTCACAAGGGTGTGAACCGTGACGGTAAGGCTGATTCGGGATGCCGAAAGGGTGAATGCCCAGGTCCCGGAGCCGCGCGGGTTAGGAGCTTAAGTCTCAACCCGTGACACTTAGACCAAGGATGTATGTTTCTCATTGGTTGCATGTTCTTCATATAAAGAGAGATAGGGAGAGGGAGGACACCTTTTTCATTTGTGGTCATTGTCATATATGTGTCTATTTTTCATACCACATATTTTTGTGTATAGAGCATGTTCTTCTTATATAGAGCATGTTCTTCTTATATAGAGCATGTTCCTCATATGTATTATATCCTATATGTATGACATATACCTTTTTATATCCCAATTAAATTCAATATTTAGATTGTTTCTTTCCATTTTTTTAGGATTAGAATAAAAAATATGTCAACACAAAAGGTTGATATGATGGAAATGAAAGAAGTTGAGGATGATGAGATCGATAACATGGAAATAAAAGCAAGTATTTGAAGGTGAAAATGCAATGGAGCATGTCATTGAAGAATAAAGGATTAAGACATTATTAGAACCATATGTTGGCATGGAATTTGAGTCACTAGATGATGTTTAAGAATATTACAGTAAGAATGCAAGATCCAAAGGCTTTGGTACACAAAAAAATCACATTACTAAATCAAAACGCAATGATTGATCGAGAATTTGTTTGTTCAAAGAAAGGTGTGCGGGCAAAAAAATACTTGAAGAAAAAAGATAGAATGTATGCAGCACCAGATGAGACAAGAGAAGGTTGTAAAGCAATGCTTCAAATATCCAAGAAAAAAGAAGGAAAGTTAATTGTTTCTCACTTTTATACAGACTATAATCATATGCTAGCTTCACCAAATAACATGCAATTTATTCACTCACATAGAGTACGAACAAAAGTTCAAAGAGATCTTATGGATATTCTTGATGATTTCGATATTCATACAAGTAAGATAGTTTCTATTTTATCTCGTGAGTTTGGTGGGATTGATAATCTTAATATGATCGAGCGTGATGTTTTCAACTATTTAAGTTGTAAAAGGTAGAAATAATTGAAAAAAAAAAGATCAAATAATGTTAGATTGTTTTCATGAGTACCAATAAAAGAAATCTAGGTTTTTTTTTTCATGCAATTCAAACTGATATCGATGGTTGCCTACCAAGTTGCTTTTTGGGTAGATGCAAGATCTAGGATGGCATATAAACATTTTGGTGATGTGGTAGCATTTGATCATACTTATTTAACAAATAAGTATAAGATTGCTTTTGTTCCCTTTGTTGGTGTGAATCATCATTTTCAGTCCATCTACTTTTATAGACTACAAAAAGCAATGCTAAAGTCCCACTAGGCAATCTTCCATGGTGAAATTACAAGACAATTTTCATGTATGATGCTATAAGTTATCAAGTAGGATATTTCTTCCTTTTATTGGTACATACAAAGATTCAAATAGCGGTCGGATAGCGGTGTAACGACCGTTATTTCACGGTCGTGTCATCATCTGCCACCGTTATTGGAGAAAAAACGGGAGAGAATTTAAATCTCGTCTATAACAGACGAATCGCAGCCACGAATTGCGGTGTAATAGTGAATAACGACAATAGCAGTCCACTATTGTCGCTATTCCTATTTTCATTAAAAAATTCAAAAAAAAAATTCATTTGATTCTGTTTAAAAACTTAAAAGAAAAACAGTAAGAAAGAAAATAAACATCAATTTACAAATTCAGAAAAAAAAAACCCACAAAACTTAAACTTTCAAAAATATCAATTCTCTCAATTTCAACTTCAATCAAAATCAAGTATATTCAGTTTAAAGTAAGCAATTAATTCAACATTCAAATTACCTTTTTTTTTTTATTTTCAAATTTACCGTGATTTTGTGTGTTTAGAATTATATTGGACTATGATACATTGGTAGAATGAGGTAAGAGTTATTAGGACTTAAAATGAGAAACAAGAGATGAAAGTGAGACTTGAGGTTGACAGAAGCAAACAGATAGCACACACCAAATAAAAAGAGAACTGAGAGATGAGGATGATGATGAAGGTTTGCAGAAAAAAATTATTGAATACAAGGTGAAATGATAAGAAGTTGTGTGGGTCTGTGCAATTTAGTTAAGAGGTAGAAAAAGTAGACTTGAAGCTATTATTGTTGAAAATTGCCCACAACATAGAGGCTACTAAGTTTGATTTACTGTAAGTTCATAAAAAACAATTCTATTGACTCATAAATAATAATGCTCTTACTTAATTTATGAATGTCTAATAACTTATTATTTGATTTATGCATAATATAATTCGATAATAATTTGATGAGTACGATAATTAAATAATTAAATATATCATTCATTATGATTATTTATTTTTCACATGTTTATTTATCTCTTGTTTTTTTTTTTAATTATCATATAAATAATTTTTTAAATATGAATATTTTACTATACATATTTTTTTAAATAAATAAAACACATGATATGATATAAATTACTTTAAAAATCATAAAATAAAAAGTTTTATGATTAATAATTAAAATTATTATATTTTATAGTAAGTTGTGCAAAATTTAAAAAAAATCGCGATCGCGATAGCCGCAATGACCTCGAAGATCTCCGTTATATCCGCAACCATAACAAACGTGACGCGACCGAAAACGTGACCGCTACCGTAATTTAAATCCATGGATAGGTATAATAAAACATTTCCCATTTGTAAGACACAAATGCATTATTATTACTAAACTTGGTAACAAAAAACTCATTTCACAAAGGTGATAAGTTGCTTTTCAAGCATTCTTTGGAACTCTAAATAGTTCCAATCTGAATATTTATACACAAACTGAATCAATAAAGAAACTTAATATTGTTATCATCTTATAGCTTTATGTTTTCAAATTTACTTCTAGACAGGGCATAACCATCTAAAAGTTAAGAGTCCAGCTAGTCGAGGTTGCTCATAACTTCACGCCTCAATGGAGCTCCAAGAAGGAAATATAGTGCCAACCAGAAATCAACAAGAAAAAATTGCACAAAAACTGCCAAAGAGCATATTCTAATAAATAAGAGGATATAGAATGATTTACCTTTCACATAGCTGAAAGTTTTTACAAAGACTGCAAAACCATTGCCATCCGGATAATATAGGTCTATGGCAACATGTGCAGACAAACTGCAAGTGGGCAATGATAAAGTCCTCCTTAATAAGTAGAATATTTTGGCTCAGCTACCAAAGGAAACAATGAAATCAAATATTAAGTAACTATCATAGTTGCTTAAAAAAGGATTCAATAAAAAGATATAACTAAACAGATCTACAATAGCATGTTTTCACAATTACATCTACCGCATGTATTTCCTTCATCTAATTCTAGTGTGCTCAAAAGAATAGTAAAAAAAATAAAGCTTCTTCCATAGCACGAAGGGAGTCGGCCAAAGAATGTGTCAAGATGAGCTAACAAAATATCAACTAATTGGTTCATGATGCTAGCAGTTAAGGGGCAAAAAACTATATGAAAGAGTGTAAAATCTAGCATGTCTCCTTCTGAATGGGTATCTACACCCCCACCTCAAACACACCCAAAAAAGAAAAGTTAAACTGTAAAATTTAATCCGTTTCTCGACGCAAATAACACTGCCTACAAAAACTGAAAGAAAGTGATCTATCAAATTAATTCATGTTTAGGCTTGGACATTTAACTATAAAAGCTACAGCTAACTCTATAAGGATCATCAATTTATCCATGGTTTTAAAATAAAATATTCTTAAAGACCATGGTTTTTAAAACTCAGCTGCAACAACGAAAGAAAAAATAAACTAAAATGGACGGAAACTCATCTGCTATGTTTTCATCGAAGTATTTTATCGAACAAGTAACAAGCATCATATAAAATGCCTTAATTCAATGTGACAAAAAATTGCAGAAAGGATGCAAAGTACCAATAGCAAAAACTAAAGATCTATTCAATACCAGTGAATCAGTTACTATTATAAAAGGTTTAGTATTATTAATAAAAGGAAAAAAATAACTAATGACTTAAAGTAATGGCAGAGGATTACAGAGAAATAATACAACATGGCAAGGAAATGTGAGAATATGCAATCATTAATCTATTCAATACCTTGAAGTAATTCTCCACAAAAGTGGGATCCCCAAGAGCTGAATGCTGTTTATAATGTGATTGCCAAACCAGCGGCTACTAACAGAAGTAGAGGTTGTGCCGGGCAACACTGAAGTCCGCTTTAGCAATTTCCTCTTTCACTTTCTGAAGCTGCAGAAGGTGAAATAAGAAATTGTCATCTCCGAAGGGCATGGGCATTTAATCTGAAATAGAGGCAGAGATGCTTAAAGAGAGATAGCAAAAGTTTGGGAGTTGCATAGTTAGAGAACTAAGAACAGAGTGAGAATTGAGGGATTGTGGCAGAGAAAAGGTCTGAGATGGAAGTTTGAGAGAAGCGTGAATGAGAAAGGTGTGTAGAGAGCAAAAATTTGGGAATTAACAATGGTGAGTGTAAAAAAACCCGTTTGTGGAGTTTTATTTTCCACTAACAGTGGATTAAATAATAATCTAGTTGATTTCGGTTTCAAAATCGGACGGAGTCGGATCTTACCACCTCCAAAAATGATGCAACTTGATACGATCTCAATTAATCGATGTGGATAGGCCATGTATTTGCATAAGGAAAGCTGAAGATATCATTTTTATGAGCCGTTAAGAATTGGCTTTTCTCAGAATTTAGGGGTAAACGCAACACTAATACAAATTGGGGATTTTTTGGTTGGAGAGCCATAAGGCCCAAGGGCTTAAACGTGGTTGTTGCGAAGTGTGCTGATTCTTTCTTCTGGTCTTCTCAATATATCACTCTCTGAAAAGCAAAATCTTGGAATCTGTCTCTTAATGTATAGCAGTGAGTAGAGTCTGTGTTTAGTAGCGTTTTGCGAACGGATGATGGCTTATGGGATGTGATGGTGTGGCAATAGCTTAAATAAGAGTTAAAGAATGGGGAGGGGTATAAATAAGAATAACAATAATAGCAGTAGTAAATGGAAAGCTTAGAATCGTAAGAACCAGAGAAGAAGAGGCCTCACTTGGATTCTCCCGCCGTGGCCCGTAACTTCTCCGCTTCTCCCAATTATACCAAATCGGTAATCTCTCTCTCAAATATATATTTTTTATTTTTTATTTCTCTTTAGTTTCCTGCTCAAATTAGGGGTTTGGCATGATTTTATTTGCTTTTTTATTTTTTTAACCTTCTGCTGTAATTTACTTTCAAATCACTATTGACTCTGGAATAGCTTTGTATTTGTCCTGTCGCTAGGAAGAATCAATGACCAAACCGAAAGATTTTTTAGACATTACTTTCGGCTTCCTACAAAAGAGAAAGTTACCCTAAATTTGTGCCTGCTATAACTATCGTGCTTAGAAGCTCTGTTGTATTCGTTTGCTGCATAATCGCTGGGTTTTTCTTCAACTTTCTAATTTCAAATGCTTTTTCTTTGTCGTCTAAAAAGTATTGGGAGTGGAGCAGAATTTAATATTTTTTACTTTTTCAATTTTAGGACCAATTGTGAGTTAATTGAATTGATAATGGTGGATAATTAGTGTGCGGCAAAACTGGATTCCCCTGTCCCTGTGAGCCTGTACTAGGAAAAAAAAAATAGGGAAAAAGGGGTTCTTTCTCTTAGTGACTTAACCCTAATCAATATGGCATTGACATGCTTTTGTTTGGTCTGACATGCGGATGTATGGTTACAAACTGAATTTAAAGTTCTTTTACTTCATCTTTTTTCACGTAAGTGGCCTGCTAGGTTTACGCGATTCCAAATATGATGAAATTGAGCTGATAATGGTTGATAATTGAAGTAGTTTGCACTAACAGGGGATTCCCTGTAGCTGCAACATCAGTGCTGTATATGTGATTGGAAACATTGTAAATTAGAGAAATCTGATATTTTATTCATCATCTTGACTTATCTAAGCTGCTTATATGCATTGATTTCTGATGTTAAAACTTTTCCTCTAATTTTTTATTTTATGTTGGTCATTTTCTGATTCTAACTGTTCCTGTATTTGTCATGAACCAGTTCATTAAGTATCTATGTATATGCATGGGCAACATTTATCCACTATCCAATTTGCACATTTGCTGGGTTGAGAAGCTAGGCCCTTTGCTTAGGCTAATTTCAATCTTGGGGATGTATACTGTCTTCTGCTTCCTGATTGAATTGTTGTCTTTCACTTTTTACCCATGCTTTAATTTTTTTGTTACCTTACAATTACAATGATATTGCTGCATACGCCCCAATGTGTAAGGTTGGTGAATATGTCAAGTAAATTTAATTTTCAAATAATCAATTTTTGAATTTTTTTTTATGCAATATTTTGTGTTTTATACGTTTCTCTTATACATTTCAATTGATATGGAGGGTTTTTTTTACCCAGGTTGACGCAGCAGTTCTCCAGTGCCAGAATCAAAAACTTGTCCAGCAATTAGATATTCAGAAACATGAGTTGCATGATCTTGAAACCAAAATTAAAGATTTAAAAGACAAGCAAACCTCTTATGATGATATGTTGATAACTGTGAATCAACTTTGGAATCAGGTATTTTTGCATGGTGCTCTTTTATTGCTGTATCTTTTGTGATCATCATGATTTGTAATTTTTATGTTGTGTTGTTGTTCTATTGTATGGTTGGTTGATGATTTGATCCTGGTCAGAATACGAGATGGACTGGACCAAAATGCTTTAGAAATCTTGGACCATGCAAATGATTCTTGAGGTTTGATCAGAAGTTTAATTGTTAGCAAACCTCTTATGATGATATGTTGATAACTGTGAATCAACTTTGGAATCAGGTATTTTTGCATGGTGCTCTTTTACTGCTGTATCTTTTGTGATCATCATGATTTGTAATTTTTATGTTGTGTTGTTGTTCTATTGTATAGTTGGTTGATGATTTGATCCTGGTCAGAATACGAGATGGACTGGACCGAAATGCTTTAGAAATCTTGGACCATGCAAATTATTCTTGAGGTTTGATCAGAAGTTTAATTGTTTGTTAAAAATTTTTTTTCTGTGTGCTTTTGGGAGTTGGGAGAGGTAGTCCTATGTCTTTTAATATTAATGAAATCAATTTTAGGTTCTCTCAAATATACAAAAGATCAGCTTGAGCTACTCTTTAGTTGCTATTCCTTCATGCCCTGTGGAGGAGATCTTTCTTTGTAGGCTTCTTGAAACAGATTTTGTTGATAGTAGTGGCGATGATGGGATTGCAAGTTCTTTTGAACAAGTCCTATCTTCTCGTCATTCATCCACTAAGGAGTTGATAAAATCTCTGGAGGATACCATTGCTGCTGAGAGGGTGAAAACTAAGAGCATGGTCCTTTCATTGCATGGAAAATTTTCTGTTGAACATTAGATGATATCTTTGTTTCAGTAGTTCAGTAATTTGTCTTTCCTCATATGTTTGCAGTGAATTTTTTAGCTATTTTCTACATTATTTAGTACTTCTGTCTGCAGTTTTATATTGATTATTATTACATATTACTTCTTGCAGACAACATTATGCAGCTTTCTAAGATTGATGATATGATGAGAGAGGAGGCTAAAACTTTGTGTGAGGTGATTGGCACTCTACACTTGAAGCATAAAGAATTAGCTAATGGAATTCAAACATATATAATCAGCCATTCAACTGACCAATCTGAGATAGTTCTTTTAGAAGATTTTTGTATTTTATACACTTAATTGGATATAGATGCATGCGGTAACTTCCTAACATGTAGAATGCTGCTCTCAATGGCAAATTTGATACCAAAAGAATCACTGTATGCTGGCAACCTTACTGATTGTTAGCGAGTGTGAAACTTCATCTGTTCATTTGGTGTCTTCTCATGATTGGTTATTAAAGCTGTAAATAATTTGTTAATACTGAAAGGAGAGCTGGAAGAAATGATGGCTAAACTTGAAGAAAGCAAAAGAAAACCAGTCAATCTGAAAATGCAGAAAAATATAGCATCTGGGATGCGTGCATCAACTCCAGTTGCAGCAAATGGCAACTTGTCACCAGAAAAGACTTCAGATAAGACAATGGGGTTGTGGGAGATAAAGGATTCGATTGAGGAGACAAAGGTATTGATCTACATAACAGAGTTTTTCTCCATCTCTCTTCCTTTGTGTGACTAATTTTGTAGGATATGTTACTAAACAAGTGTCGCAGATAGCGGCAGCAGATTGACTTTCTAAACTTCAAGATGCACAGGAACAGAACCTACTCGATTCAAAGCAACTGAAGGATCTTCAGGTTTGCTTGGATTATTGACCTCTGAAAGTTGATTTTCTTATTTGTTGAAATACATTTTTGAATGATGCTATGTGTTCTAGTAATTTAATTTATAAGATTTTATTCTCTTAGAATGAACTGAAGGATGACAAATTCATACAATCCTCTCGGCTGTACACTTTGTTAAATGATCAGCTCCAGCATTGGAATGCTGAAATGGAAAAATAGAAAGCACTGACCGATGCTTTGCGGGTTAAACTGCTTGTTTTACCTTTTCACATGTTTCAAATGTTCGAGTACTTTTTGGTCTGTTTTGAAAGTATAATTTCAGACTGACAGGTTTCTTGTCATGAGGAGGGAGAAGGAACTGAATATAAAAGTTGAGTCAGCAGATGCTGCTAGGAATACAATTGATAATGCTGATTCTAGAATCAAAGAGCTCGAGCTGCAGCTCCAGAAGTGTATCATAGAAAGAAATGATCTTGAGATTAAAATGGAAGAAGCTACCCAAGATGCCAGTAAAATAATAAATCAGAATTGTACATTTTACTTGTTTAAGGCGGAAAATGGTGGATCTTTTGGCTTATTGAAATGCTACCTTTTTTTCAGGAAGAAACGATATTAAAGAAGAATTTCAGTGTCATGGCATCAGCTCTGTCCAAGGAAATAGGAATGATGGAAGCTCAGTTGAATCGCTGGAAGGAGACAGCGCACAAAGTGATTTCCTTGCATGCAGAAGCCCAGGCACTAAAAGCTTTGTTAAGTGATAAGCTTTTTATCTTGTCCTTAATGGTTCTTTTGGGGGGAATAAAATTTGAAAGTTGTGATACATAGATAAAATGTACGTACAGGTTGTTTCTATATTTTTTAAATTATATTTAGCATTAAAGTTGTTGAAAAACTTGATATAAAGATGATGGTTTACTTTTGTACCAAGTGGTGGAACTTGATTGTCAGACAGAATATCATTTTGGAACTTTTATTTCTTTTTTTGGTGCTAAATATCATTTTGGAACTTTGAGTTTCTGTGTTTGTACACAGCCATTTAGTCTTTGATTTTTATTCTTCTATCAATTTCATATACCTGCTTGATTTTTGTTTCATTTGATTACTAAGCATGTAATTTGAGGAAATTGTGATCTTTCATAAAATGGATCTATATTTCTTAAATTTAATGAATAGAATAAAGACAAATAGTTATGATTTTTGAGTTTTGAATGTTTTGGAACTTATTGGGTGCTTAAACAAATTGGTCGTTCAGGTCAGTTCATTCTCTAATCATTCAACTTTTGTCAAAAGTTTTCCAATAGACAAACCAACAAAAGCACTTGGCAGAAGATTGTGCTGAATAGATTGTTGAAATCAAATCTCTCAATGATTTGGTGAGTATGTCTATTCTTCTGTTAGTTCCAGCTAGTTTATTTATATGTTGTTTACAATATTGGGGGAAGGTGAAATGCCAGAGCTGGGGTTCTGCATTAATGCCATCTATCTTTGCTTGTTATATATACGTTTTTTATTTTCTTCGTTTGCTATTGAAATATAAGAAATTTTTACATTGTCTTTTCGCAAAGTTTTTTGTTCTTGTCCCTTATTGTGCGCATTCATACTCGAACTTATTCTTAGTATAATATCTTCAGATATTGTATGCATATGACTTAAATCGATATTCATTACTGAATAGTATTCACTTGATGCAGATTGAGAAATTGCAGAAGGAAAAATTGGAGCTGCAAATCTTCTTGGACATGTATGGCCAAGAAGGCTATGATAGTAGGTGTGTTAATTTGAGGAGACTTTCTCAAGGCACACACACACAAATACATACAGCGAGAGAAAGGAAGAGAAAAAGCAATAAAGAAAAGCAGAAAAATTTTCTTTAGTTCTATCCATTGCAAGCTGTAGATCTTTGTCAAATTTTCATCTGACTTGCTTTTTGCGTAAATCCTGTCTTATATCACTCTCTGTGATTTTTCTTGTCTATTATGCTTGAAGTGAAAAAAACATATAATTAATTCTCTTTAAATTGGATCTCAAATGACTTGTTGCGCTAATAAAGGAACAAGATTTGTGTGTGACTTCCAATTGTTTCTGAGTTATAGTAACCCTGTTGCAAAGCTTAAACTTCAGAATTTTTAAAGTTCAATTTAAAAGTTGATCCTGAAATGGTAAAATATTTCAAGTTGCATTTTTACATATTTGTTTCATTTGTTAGTGCATACGGATGTGCGGTTTCTTGCTTCTTTGCATGCAAAGTAAGAAGCTGAAGTGATTCTGAGTTTGAAGTTCCGTGGGGTTTAGTTGGGTTCTCTTAGTTTGTGAGCTGGAAGTATGATATAGTTTGAGCTACTCAATCTTTTGCATTAACGATTAGTTATGCTTTCTTCTCTATCATGTCATTCACATAACCATTATCTAGTTTAGAAATCTCTTGCTTTTACCTTTTGGTTGCTTTGGCTTTTTATTAATAAATTTGGGTTCCCAAATTAAATTTCAGAGATGTGATGGAAATAAGAGAATCAGAAAATAAAGCTCATTCACAAGCTGAAGTCTTGAAAAATGCTCTGGATTAACATAGTCTAGAACTGAGTGAAAGCTGCTAATCAGGCTGAGGTTGCTTGCGAACAAAGGCTTTTGCTGAAGCTGAAATAGCTGAGTTAAGAGCTAAACTGGACGCTTCTAAGAGGTTTGTTCTTTTCTAGTTTTTGGATTTTTTATAAATGGTGTCACATGGATGTCAGTTGGTTGACAATGTCAATGATTTGACTGACAGAAGTTGATAGAGGGTGCAAATATGCTAGTGAGGGATTAAATTATCTAGGATTTTATTTTATATTTTAGGGGCTTGAGTAACTTATATAGATATTTAGGATATTTTATAATATTTTGGTTATTTTATATTAATTAGTACTTCTTTTCCAAGTATTAGGGTCTGAGAGTCACATTTGGTATTTTGTATTTTATTAGGCTTTGGGATTAATTATAAATACCTATATATTTTAGTTAAGGAGGATTTAGATGATGAATATTTGAGTTATTGTGATATTGAGTATTGTGATTTTCTTTCCCTGTTGATTTTCTCTGGTTTTCTTCCTCACTTCTGTTTCTTCCCCAATTTCTTCTTTTACTCCATAATTGTTTCTTTCTATTTCTGAAATTCTTTATAGATTTCTATATTTCATCTCTTCTCCCTAGTTGTCCTAGATCAATTGGTATCAAAGCTCAGAAGAACTTTTGCTATCTATCTTTTTCTTTCTTTTTGCCTTACAAAAAGATCCAGCCAAGAAAAAAACAGTGCTGTTTGAAAAAAGTGAATATGAATTTCCAGATCTGTCCAAAGAAAAAAAAAAACAGTTTGGTTTAAAAGAGAGAGGGAGAGAGAGAGAGAGAGAGAGAGAAGAATCCTTCCACCACTGTCCAACTGTTTGATCTCCAATCCATCACCTCAAAAAGCTTTGCTAGCTGCCAAACTGTAATCCTAGAAAGTTTTGTGATCATTTGTGTCACTATAGTGAAAAGTTTATGTAACCAAAGACAAAAAACAATGTTCTTTGTTTATCTTTTATTAATGACGATCATCAAATATATAGAGGAATTGATATGTACAAAAAACTCATAAAATCAAGACACAATCATCCAACTATAAAAACCAATAAAAGTAACTAATTACCAGAAATATAAATCCCAACAAATCAGGAAATAGATCTTGATACATCCTATCAACACTCCTCCTTAAGCTAGAGAATAGATGTTTATCATTCTTAGCTTGTCAACAAGGATCTCAAAGCTTGCTTTATGTAGTCCCTTTGTTAGGATGTTTGCTACTTGTTGCCTTGTAGGAACATACGTCATATACCATATCAATCTTGTGGAGACCCACACCCAACCTGTGAGATGTTATCCTCTTTGACCTGAAATTCTTACGATTTTGTTCCACAAAATGCGCTTCACAGGTTTATGTTTAGATCTCAACCATATCCTCATATTCTTTCAATGTGGGAATGGGGCGTCACAATCTGCCCACCTTTAAAGCTTGATGCCTTGTCAAGCCAAGTCCAACCACAAGATCAAAATCACACTAGACGTTGGGATTCTAGAGGTGGCTCCTACTATGTAGCACTTAGTGATTCTCATGGGCCCATCATGTAGCACTTAGTGATTCTCATGGGCCCATCATGTAGCACTTAGTAACTCCCACAATGTAGCACTTAATTTTTATCGACTGATGGCTGCTCTGATATCATTCGTGAAGACCCGCACTTAACCTACGAGGTATTGTCCGTTCTGAGACCGAGACATAACACAGCCATATTACCTTGAAGTAAAACCGCAAAGTAATACAAAGACTTTTTTCTTAATCATTCTAAAATTTTTCAATAAAATAATCTGTTCAAGAAAATCCATAACTTTAATTCAACTAATGAGAAATCTCTATATTCTCAAATGCAAACTAATTAAAATACTAAACCGCTTCATAAGATCTCATTAGCCAACAATGTCTCTAATGTCCGAGTAATCTTTCCAATCTAATCTTTTAGCTTCTCACACAACTAAGCAAACTTATCACTTACTCATTTGTAAAGAAAAAGTAAAAGGGGAATGAGTAAACCATAGCTTAGCAAGTATAGGCTCATACACCTTACCGAATTAAGCATTGTTTTCATATGTATCACATAGATCATTCAAAATATTTGTCAAACCAAAATGTCAAAACATTTAAAAAATCATCATTATTTTAAAAGTTTTGGAGATCATAAATCAATATCAAAACAGGTCAATTCATAAATCATTGCAAAATATGCTACCATTCAAATATTGTGATCAAACCAAATCATGGAACAATCATTAAAAATCATCGTGAATCATCTTCATATACAAATCATAATTATCATTAGTTTATCGTTAGCTATGGTCACTACTATAACCCATGACATCGGCCCTATCGACAATTTCATCCTTATGAACATTGCTAACTATTATAACCCGCTAGCCAGAGCGTTATGCTAACTACTATAACCCGTTAGCCAAGGCCGTAGAACTAGTTTTAGTGTCGATGATCTCACTTCCCAAGGATGTAAAAACATAGCTATCATAAAGTCGTTCCTTAAACAAAAATCATTTTCTCATTTCATTCATAAGCATGATCTATCATTTATATAGCAAAAACACAAAATAATCATATTCTTGGTCCTATTTTCATATATCGGAAATAATGAAATAAAACATTTACTCATTTAGAAACATACATATATACATAGTTTCGAAAATAAGTAAAGTGTGTGAGATTGTACTTACTTTCGTTCGATTCCACCATTTTGTTTTTCCCCCAAAACAATTAACAGTCTATTGAAGATCATTTCAACATATCAGAAATTAATCAATCCTTTTTGAGACCATTTATACTAAAAACAACTAAAGTTATTCAAGAATCAACTCAACTAACTAATACTGATAGCCTAAGCTCCTTTCACTAAAACAGCCATATCTCAATATATCAAACTCGAACTTAAGATCTTTATGGTGCATTAGAAACTAGACTCGATAAGCTTTCTAACCATATATGGCCCACCACATAATTCTTTGTAGATTAATTGTAATAAAATTTGCAATCCACGTCATATGCTGCTGCTAGACAACATGTATACCTTCAAATAAAAATTACATATTTATTTATAGGAAACTCCAAATTCAATTCCGCTTGTTTTTTTTGGAAAGTAGACTCAATAAGCTTTCCAAACATATATGGCTTAATTCGTAATTCCTTGTATAAAATTTAAGACAATATTCATAATTCATCACTGAAGCTGCTGCCAATGCAGCCTGCACATCCTTAAGTAAAAACAAGAGAACTCTTCATAGAAAATTCAGAATCAACTTTCGTTTGTTTTGTTAGAAAGTAGATTCAACAAGCTTTCCAACGATATATAATACTTATAGTAATAATCTATCCATTAATACAGAATTTCATTTTAATTCACTGTTGTAGATAATAACATCTCATCCAAAAACAAAATTTCTCCTTGATTCTTTAAAAATCCAAATCTCCACTTTCAGCCTTTAATATCCACTCAATAATCATCAATAAATCATAATAACATGAAGTAAGCAAAGCCCAATAATTTGCCCAAATAGATCATGAAGATTAGTGAGAGATTACATAATTTTTCTTGGTTTTTCTCTCAAAACTTCAACTCCAAATAATAGTAATAAACACAATACTTAAATAAAAAGAGTGCGTATACTCACCTTTAGGAGATTAACCCAATTGTAACCTCTGATTTCGAATCTCCAATTTGATTTTTCATACTCTTTAACCCTAAGAAAGCTGAAGATGAAGAACTTTCATTTCCTTTCTATTTTACAATAGCTAGGTTTTATTTCATATAATACCTCAGCCTCCTTTTCTTTTAGTAAATAATCTCTTAATTAAACTAATAGGCTTTGGTAATAGTCTAGCCCAATTATCATTTGGGCTAGGGTATTACATTCTCTCCTTTATAAAAAGTTTCATCCTTGAAATTTGATTTACATCCACATCTTATTCCTCCATTTTTGAAATCATTTCTCTTGTTGTATGTTTGTTTCGTTAAACTTTTTCAAAGGTAACAATTTCATCTCAAAGCTTGTTCTTTCCAATCAACCATTCAAATAAGATAGTTTCAATATGTTAAAACTTATATCATCCTTAATTTCTAAATATTCATACCCAACCACATAGCTTGGATTAAGAACATATTCTCTCACCATAGATTTGTAACACAGTATTACAATAGATATATGAGGTGGTAAGATTCTTTATATAAATAACTTCTTTCACTTTACCAAAAACTTCAAATGTCCTAACATAATGTAAACTTAACCTTCCTTACCTTATACTTAACCTTCCTTACCTTATAATTCTTGTAACACTTTTAATGATGACACATTTAAGTACAAATGATTAACCACTTGAAGTTACAAATCTTATCTCCAAATTATGGCATAATTCTTTTGTTTACTTTAAACCATTCCTTAATGAACTAAAATTTATCAGCCATTTGATCCATAAATTCAAGAAATAAAAGTTTCTTCTTCCTTGTTCTTATCCTAATAAGTTTGAGATTTAGATCTATTTTCATGCGAAACCTCAAAATGAATCATTCAATGTTTGTCTTATGACTATTGTTATAAAAATGTTTCTTTTCAATTCATGACATAAGCATTTCTTAGAAAATATCAATCAACGATAAAGCCTCCCAAAAATAGAAGGAACACAAAATATTCTTACTCAAAATTCAGTAGTCCTTATATATTAAAGATTCATCACTTTCTCAGCTAACAATAGCATAAAATTCAGAACTTAAATCAAATCATGCTTCCACTACATACTTTGATATTCCCTTCTAAAACTTTAAAATATCAAATTCACTTTCATAACATTGTTTTATAACAAGAAAAGCATATGTCCGAAAATTTCATGTAATTTGCTTCACACCGGGTATTCATAACCATATATAATCTTAAAGTTGAATAACAATATCAACATATCCTTTAGTCACCAAAAAGATATCACATAGTACTTTAACTTTCTTTTCTTCTTCATCAACAATATGAAATTTTCTATCAATTATCCGTTAGAATACATATGAAATCAATGCAATAAATCATATCCATACATTTTCACTATGTAAATTCAAACATAAATCT